AGAAAAAAGTCCTGTATTTGTTCTGCACAGTGCAAGCAAATTTAATAACATGCTTGCACTGTGTTTCCTTGCAACTTGTCTCTGGTGTCTATAAATGGATACCAGGAGATAAAAGGCCAGGAAAGAGTATTGTGCATGTGTTTGGAGCCTGCTTGTGGTATTGCGTGTGTGTAGAGTGAGCTGGTCGTGGTGTGGTATTGTGTAATAAGGTCGGTTTTAGTCGTGTTGTGTTTGTGGTGTAATGTGATGCATATGTGGCTATGGGCTGTAGAGAATGTGTGTATTGGGGATATAGCAAGTGTGTGCATACAGGCTATAGTGTGTGTGTGTGTTTAGGGGTGTAGTATGTGTTTGCTTACAAGGAATCTAGTGTGTGTATAGGGGATCCAGAGTGTGTATGTTAAAGGACCACTATAGTGCCAGGAAAACATACTCGTTTTCCTGGCACTATAGTGCCCTGAGGGTGCCCCCACCCTCAGGGACCCCCTCCCGCCCGGCTCTGGAAAGGGGAAAGGGGTTAAAACTTACCTTTTTCCAGCGCCGGGCGGGGAGCTCTCCTCCTCCGATCGGCTGAATGCGCACGCGCGGCAAGAGCTGCGCGCGCATTCAGCCGGTCGCATAGGAAAGCATTTATAATGCTTTCCTATGGACGCTTGCGTGCTCTCACTGTGATTTTCACAGTGAAAAGCACGCAAGCGCCTCTAGCGGCTGTCAATGAGACAGCTGCTAGAGGCTTTGGGGGAAGGCTTAACCCATTGATAAACATAGCAGTTTCTCTGAAACTGCTATGTTTATAAAACAATGGGTTAACCCTAGAAGGACCTGGCACCAAGACCACTTCATTAAGCTGCAGTGGTCTGGGTGGCAAGAGTGGTCCTTTAAGAGTGTAGTGTGTGTGTGTGTGTTTATATATATATATATATATATATATATATATATATATATATAAATATATATATTTAGAAGTATTGTGTATGTGTGTGGTGCAGTGTGTTTGGGGGGGTTCTGTGTGTATGTGAGGGGTGCAGTATGTGTGTGTGAGGGGTGCGGTCTGTGAGAGTGCGGTGTGTGTGAGAGTGCCGTGTGTGTGTGATGTGTGTGTGAGAGTGCCGTGTGTGTGTGTGATGTGTGTGTGAGAGTGCCGTGTGTGAGTGATGGGTGTGACAGTGCTGTGTGAGTGATGGATGTGAGAATGCTGTGAGAGAGTGCTGTGAGTGTGTGAGTGTGTGAGTGTGATGGGTGTGAGAGTGCTGTGTGAGAGAGTGCTGTGTGTGATGGGTGTGAGAGTGCTGTGTGTGATGGGTGTGAGAGTGCTGTATAAATGTTATTGTGTGTGTGTAGGGGGGGGTAAATAAAAAAAAAAAACAGACACTATGTCCCCCGCTCCCTTCTTACCTTTAGCCTGGGAGGGGGGGACCAGCACGCTGGGAGGCAGGGTGGCGGTGTTCCCTGGTGGTCCTCGTGGGTGAGTGAACTCTAGCCTGTGAGGCTAGAGTTCACTCTCGCGAGATCCGGTCGTTGCCATGGCAACGCGCCAGATCTCGCGAGAGGAACCCGGCGGAGCTGCAAGTTAGAGCTCCGCCGGGTCCTCTCTCCAGCCTGGCTGGCTGTCTCCCTCCCCCTCTGCCCGCCGGCGGCCGCATGTGGGCCGGTCAGGGAGATCTTTGATCTCCCCACCGGCCCGTCGTGGCAAACAGCGGGGCCGGCGCTCGGATAGTGCCGGCCCTGCATAGACCGGCAGGGGAGATCCTGGGACCTCCCCTGCCGGCCTTGGCCCCACGGCCACCGCGGCCCACCGGGCATTTGCCCGGTGTGCCCGGTGTGCCCGATGGCCAGTCCGGGCCTGCCCGTTACGGACATTATGAGTATACAGTAATGCCGTTTGGGTTATGCAATGCCCCGGCCGTCTTCCAAGACTTGATTAATGAGGTTCTTAGAGAATTTCAACACGAATGCGTTATAGTATATTTGGATGATATACTAATACATTCTAAGGACCTTGACTCTCATCACAGACAAGTCAGAAGGGTATTACGGAAACTTTTACAACATGGATTGTATTGTAAATTGGAGAAATGTAGCTTTGATCAATCCCAGATAACTATTATTATGATGGACCCGATTAAACTAAAATCGATTTTAGATTGGCCTTTACCCAAGGGACTCAAAGCCATACAAAGATTCATTGGATTTTCTAATTATTACAGACGCTTCATTAAAGGGTACTCCTCTGTTATTGCTCCTATCACTAATATGACTAAACAAGGAGTCAATACCAAAACGTGGTCTACTGAGGCTTTATCTGCTTTCGAAACGCTCAAACAGACTTTTGCTTCAGCACCTATATTAGTCCATCCTGATACCTCTCTACCCTTTTTACTTGAGGTTGATGCATCTGAAACAGGTATAGGCGCGGTATTATCCCAAAGACGAAGTTTGGATAAACCTTTACACCCATGCGTTTTTTTTTCCAAAAAATTATCACACACGGAAAGGAGATATGATATTGGTGACAGAGAACTCTTAGCTATTATTATGGCACTAAAAGAATGGAGACATCTGTTAGAGGGCACTGTTCTCCCTGTTACCATCTTGACTGATCACAAGAATTTATCATACATTGGAGAGGCCAAAAGATTATCTGCCAGGCAAGCACGTTGGTACACATTTCAACTACGTACTCACATACAGACCTGGTTCTAAGAACACCAAAGCAGACGCGCTATCCCGTCACCACGAACCTATTACCATCACAGAAGACGCATTGTCTCCTATTGTTCCTAAACATAACATTATCGCTAACACCACTGTCAAAATACACTCTCCGTTACTCGCAGATATAATGAACGAACAATCTCTTGCTCCAGAACGTACCCCTGAGGGATGGTTCTTCGTTTCTCCCAAGTTCCAAATGGACATAATTCGATGCTTTCACGATAGCAAGTTTGCCGGTCACCCCGGCATCCACAAAACTTGTTACTTGATTTCCAAAGACTTCTGGTGGCCTAGTTTACGGAGGGATGTGGAAGACTTTGTCAAGGTCTGCGATGTCTGTGTTAGGAATAAACTATCACAGACACTCCCTTGTGGCCTATTGCAACCCTTAGTCATTCCCAACAAACCTTGGGCTAGTCTAGCTATGGATTTTATTGTTGATTTGCCTGTTTCCAATAAACGCACAGTTATCCTCACGGTGATCGACAGGTTTACCAAAATGGCTCATTTTATTCCCTTGCCTAAACTCCCTTCCTCACCCGAATTGGCCGTGATATTTGCAAAGGAGATTTTTCGCTTACATGGTATTCCCAATGAGATTGTGTCTGACAGAGGTTCCCAATTCATTTCCCGTTTTTGGAAGTCCTTCTGTTCCCAGTTGGGTATCAAGCTGAATTTTTCATCTGCCTATCATCCTCAATCTAACGGGGCAGCCGAACGCACTAACCAGAAAATTGAGCAATATCTACGTTGTTTTGTTTCCGAACACCAGGACCATTGGGTCGGTCTGATTCCTTGGGCGGAGTTTGCTCACAACAACCTTGTTTGTAATTCCACTCATAATAGCCCCTTTTTCTTGAATTATGGCTTTAACCCTACTATTCTTCCGTCAGTATCACCTTCTCATGGTATACCGTCGGTTGATGTTCATATAGCCAACCTGAGAAAGTTGTGGGATCAGACTCGACAAATTCTTACACGTAGCTCTGCGGTGTTTAAGATGCATGCTGATAGGCGTAGACGGCCCGCCCCTGTCTTTTCTCTGGGTGATAGGGTCTGGTTGAGTACCAGACACATTCGCTTGAAAGTTCCTTCCATGAAGTTTGCTCCTCGTTACATAGGTCCTTACAAGGTGTTGAGGAGGATCAACCCGGTTTATTATCTGCTGGACTTGCCTTCTACTCTACGTATCCCTAACTCTTTTCATGTGTCTTTATTGAAGCCTCTTGTTTGTAACAGGTTTTCTTCACACCCTTCACCCCCTTCTTCAGTTCAAGTTGATGGTCAGGAGGAATATATTGTCAGGTCCATTCTTGATTCTCGTATGTCCAGGGGGAAGTTGCAATATCTCGTAGATTGGAAAGGTTATGGCCCTGAAGAGAGGTCTTGGGTTCCTTGTGAAGATGTACATGCTCCTCGTCCTCTTCGAGCCTTCCACGTTCGGTTTCCTTCCCGTCCCGGTCCCGTCCGCCCAGTGGGCGTATCTAAAAGGGGGGGTACTGTCATGGTACCTGTAATTTGAGGAGGCCAGGCACCTGGACAGTCTATCTTCTAAAGGGGCTTCTATGCCCTAGCATTTCGGCAATATCGGCCGTTGTCACGCCGGCCGCGCTAGCTCCTCCCCCTTTTATGACGCAACGGCCAATAGTCGACGTCATGACGTCATCATCGACGTGAACCGCCAGAAACCGCAATTCCGGACCTTTTGGGGGCGTGGTCATCAATTAAGGTGACAGGGTATTTAAGGGAAGCCTGTACTACTACTCATTGCCCTGTCGTGGTTCTAGCTTGCTAGTCACTCAGCGCGTTCCTCTCTTTGTGTTTTTCGGTTTTGACCTGGCTTGTACTTTTGTCCTGCTTCTCTCTCCTCTCCTTAGACCCGGCTTGTTCCTCGCTTACCTGTCCTCCGGCTCCCTCGACCTCGGCTTATCTTTTGACCATTCTTGTCTTGTCTATACGTTAGTCCGGCCATTCTAAGGTCCGGTATACGTACCTCTTCCTGTCCGCACTCTGCATATTGGATCCCTGTCACGATCCTGACATTTCCTCCCGAGCAGCCAAAGCCCAGTGAATATAGCCCGCCGTTTGGTAGTTATAGTAGACGATTTCCCAATTGTAAATCCAATAGTGTTCCTGGATAATTCCCACAGTAAAACACCCAAACTCCCAAACAGCATACGTAGTCAGAAAAAGGGTACAAAGATGAACTGAAGGTTTAATGACAGGCATGCTCTTTTTATGGAATTCAGCCCATGCAAGGGAGCCTCCCATATAATTAGCCATACATCCAATCCTAACAATATACATACTGTACATCTCCTCCCCTCAGATAACCATTAAACACAATTAAAACGTAACAGAAATTCCCCAAAGTTTGGATGTACCCCAAGGTGTCTCCAGATAGCTATTGTCTGGGAAACCAACATATTAAAAACTCAGTCCATTCGGTTCAGCCGTTCGGGAGATATAGGACTTAGAAGTTTTGACCGACTGCACGGGCAAAGTAGCCGAAAACTGTTCCATGAATTCTGGCCCTGCAGTCGGTCTTAGATCGCATGAAAAACCTCCCGAACGGCCGGCCATCCAGCTACCATCCTTGGTTCGCTTGATTCCCCATCTGTTGGTAAGTCTTTCTACCGAACGCCCAGTCGTTCGGTAGTTTGGAAGGGGTTTTACCGAATGTCTGGAGGCTTCAGCGGTGTTCGCCTGTTTGAGTGTCCGTTTTCAGTTCCAGACATTCAAGGGCAAACACCGCTGTTCAGGAGCTAAAATGGCCGCGAACACAAGGAAGTCCCGAAATGGCGGCGAGACCTGCCGTTCGTGAAAAACTTCTGCCGAACGTAATCCAGCCAGCAAGGGGGTACAGTCTGTATACAGGGGTGACAGGGTGGTCTGCATTTGATAGTTTTACCTACCGAATGCCATAGGGAAACATTGCTATTGACAACAAATACAAGAAGTGCATATACAGTAAAAAAAAAGGCATTTCTTCACACTGCTCCCCTATAAGTCCATAGGTCGGCATACCCACCAAGACCCTGACGGGTTGGCTTGGGGATGTCCGAGGGGGAACAAAGAAACAGTCCAGGATAAGCATCCAATTCCGTTTGGCGGGACAAACGGTCTGCATTACCATTTTGTTTGCCCGGACGATATTGCATAGTGAAGTTGTACGGTTGAAGGGCTAGGCTCCACCGTAAAAGTCTAGGGTTGTCGCCAGCCACCCGGTTTAACCACACCAATGGGTTGTGGTCGGTCATCAGAGTAAACGGCCGGCCGTACAAATAAGGTTGGAGTTTCTTAAGGGCCCACACCAGGGCTAGGCACTCCTTCTCCACGGTGGCATAGCTGACTTCCCGGGGAAACAGTTTACGACTTAGATAGGCCACCGTGTGTTCCATGCCGTCGTCTCCCACCTGGCTTAACACGGCTCCCAGCCCAAACATGGAGGCATCTGTGTGGAAAAGAAATTGTTTAGAGTAGTCTGGTGCTGTGTTACAGTCGTGACTTAAATATGAATATTAATTTGATAATTAATATATAATAATTAAGCAACAAATAACAACATTAATAGAGTTCGGTATTATGGTCGAATATATAATAGGAAATACACAAAACGTAGTATTAAATGTATATTTAATATAATTATAATAACAATTAAACAAATGCTAGCAGAATGTCAATTTACCACAATAATTACACAATACAAAACTACAACATTACTTACAAAAGGCTATAACAGTTGCTAGCTGTTATAATAGATTACTTACACGGCTCCAGCCTGTTTGTCTGGAGCTATACACACAGCTACATGTTCAATCAATGCAAGCAAAGGAAAAAGGGGCTGAATTCCTTCAAGATTTGGTTTTATCCAGTAAGTAGGCTGGCCTGTGATGTCACTGCCAGAAGCACATGAGTTAGCACACTGACCCCTAGTGGTGCCTCTAAAGCATTAAGCTCATTATGCTTTACTGACATCTAGTGGTGCGTCTAAAGCATTAATCTCATTATGCTTTTTTATGACAAAAAGTCATTAATCAATAAATACCATTACATGCTGCCAACACAGGAGCCTCACTCAATGCTGCTTTCAGTTTCTGGAAGGCTGCCGCGCACTCTGGGGTCCAGGTAACCTGTTTGGAAAGGGCCTTTTTGGTGAGATCAGTGAGGGGTTTGGCCAGGGCGCTATAGTCGGGGACAAATTTCCGATAATAACCAGAAAGCTAAGACCTGGGTCTTAGTCCAAGGTTGGGGCCAACTAGCTATGGCCTCTATTTTGGCAGGCTCAGGCCGCTGTTTACCTGACCCTACCCGGTGGCCGAGGTACTGTACCTCCGCCATACCCACGTGACATTTGTCCGGTTTCAACGTAAGCCCTGCTTGGTGAATTCTCTCGAGCACCCTGGACACGTGGCCTAGGTGGTCTCCCCATGTGCGGCTGTAGACAGCAATATCGTCTAAATACGCACATGCGAAGTCCTGGAGTCCCTCCAGGAGCCTGTCAGCCATCCGCTGAAACGTAGCCGGGGCATTCTTCATCCCAAAGGGCATAACCTTGAATTGGTAAAGCCCAAAAGGAGTGACGAATGCTGACTTGGGGATGGTGGCAGACTCCAGGGGGATCTGCCAGTACCCTTTGCACAAATCCAGAGTGGTCAAGTAATTACCTCCGGCCATACGGTCCAGTAACTCATCTATTCTGGGCATGGTGTAGGCGTCTGTTATGGTGCGGTCGTTGAGCCTCCGGTAGTCTACACAGAAGCGTGTGGTGCCGTCACGCTTCGGTACTAGTACTACCGGAGAGGCCCAAGGGCTTTGAGAGGGTTCTATTACCCCTAACTTGAGCATGTCGGCAAGTTCTGCCAGCATGCTCTCACGCACAGCCTCGGGAATGCGGTAGGGCGGCTGCCGTAGTGGCGTCTCTCCCTAGGTATCTACCCGGTGTACCGCAGCGGAGGTATAGCCTGGGATGGCAGAAAACATGCCCTGGTATTCCCCCCGTCTGCTTCCTGTCGCTCTATAGGTTGTAGGTTCTGACCAAGACTGACCTGGTCAATACTGCAGGGAGAGGAATCTAACAGATCGGGGAGTGGGAGTCCCTCGCTATCTTTGGAAGAGGGGGCGCATACAGCGCCGACATCTTCCGTCCGTTCGTAGTAAGGCTTCAGCATGTTTACATGGAAGACGTTGGTCAGTCTCTCATCCGAACATTTGCTTACAATGTAGGTGGTATCGCTCATTCGCTCCACCACCTTAAAGGGTCCCTGCCAGGCCGCCTGGAGCTTATCCCTTTTGGCGGGTCTCAAAGCTAATACTTTTGGGCCCAAGTCTAGGACTCTGTTTCGGGCACCCCTGTTGTAGCACCTCTTTTGGCAGTCCTGGGCCGCCTGCAGATTCTCCCGAACTGATTCGGTGAGAGTTCGCAGCCGGTCGCGGAACTTCAATACGTATTGGACTATAGGGATCCCCCCATCATCCGTGTTGCCCTCCCAGTGCTCCCGTACGAGATCCAGGGGGCCCCGAACTTTTCTCCCGAACAGGAGTTCGAAGGGGGAAAACCCTGTGGATGCCTGGGGCACCTCACGATAGGCAAACAGAAGATGAGGAAGATACTTCTCCCAGTTCCTGCAGGACTCTGCGAACGTTTTTAGCATTTGCTTGAGCGTGCCGTTAAAACGTTCACAGAGACCGTTGGTCTGGGGGTGATATGAGGCGCTAAAGAGGGCTTTCACTCCACAGCTTTGCCACAGCTGTTGTGTCAGGAGAGCTGTGAACTGAGTCCCTCTGTCGGATAGGATCTCCTGGGGGAAACCTACCCGGGAGAATATTTTGACCAGGGCCTCGGCTACCGTTTCGGCCTCTATATTGGGAAGGGCTACAACTTCGGGGTACGGAGTGGCATAGTCCACTACGGTGAGTATGAACCTTTTACCAGACTGACTGGGCCGACTGAGGGGTCCTATTAAATCTACCGCTACCCGGTGGAACGGCTCTTCTATGATGGGTAACGGGTGGAGCTTTGCTTTTTGGTGGTCACCCCGTTTCCCTATTTTCTGGCAAACGTCACAGGTCCTGCAATAGTATTTGAGGTCTTGAGTGATCCTGGGCCAGAAGAAAGTTTGGGTCAGGCGGTCCCTAGTCTTCTTAACCCCTAAATGTCCGGCTAGAGGAATGTCATGGCTGAGCCTTAGTAACTCAGCCCGAAACTTGCGGGGCACTGCTAGTTGTCTTTTAGTAACCTGGGCAGTTCCGTGTCCCACCCCATCTGTCACCCTATACAACAGTCCCTTATGCCATTCAAACTTTTCGTGGGGGTTGTCGCCCCTATTGTCCCCTACTGCTTTTCTATACCCGGCTAGAGTGGGGTCAGTCCTTTGTTCCTGCTCAAACCCCTGGGGAGTATCCCAGAACGAGGGAGGGGGGTTGGGCAAAGGGGGGATGTCAACTCCTACCTGGGTTTCCTCAGAGTGCAGCGGTGCTTCCAGTCTGGCTTGAGCTCGGGTGGTAACCGGATACGCCTCAGCTGTGGTGTCTCGGGCTAACTGGGAAGTTAAACAGCCCACATCATTCCCCAACAGTACTTCGGCTGGTAGCTCCTGCATAATGCCAACCTCTAGTTGTTTAGATCCCGAGCCCCAATCCACAAGAACTTTAGCCGTGGGTAATTTGTGAATGGCACCCCCGGCGACCCTTACTGCCACAGTGCGGCCCGTGTGCGTTTGAGCCTTGACAGTGAGTGGTTGAACCACAGTTAACGTGGCCCCAGAGTCTCTTAAGGCGCGGGCCCCCACCCCATCTACCGTAATCCATTGACGGTGGTGGTCCCGGTTGTCACCCCCGGCTTGCACAGGGTTGACTTCGTGCAACACACTCCATTGTTCCTCGTAGGGAGGTACCCATGATGTACTCTGCTGCTGTACACAATGAGCAGCGGCCCTGGGTTGTGACTGTGGAGGTTGCCTTTCCCAGCTTCCCCGGTTTAAACGTGGGCACTGATTTTTAAAGTGTCCTGGTTGTTTGCAGTAGTGACACACTGCAGGTTGTCGGGGTGCTGCGGCTGGGTTGTGGGGCGAATTACTCAGGGGAGCTCTAGGTGGTGCAGCCGTGGTTGGGGCTGAATAAGGCTGTTTAAACGCAGGTCGGTTCACCCCTTGTTCTCGCCTCCTGTTATCCTGGTATTCATCTGCCAGTCTTGCTGCCTCCTCCACAGTTTTAGGGTTCCTGTCTTTAACCCAGTCCTTAATATCCTCTGCGGTATGGTTAAAAAATTGTTCTAATAGGAGAAGTTGTAAAGCATCCTCCAGAGTGGTTGCTTGGCAGCCCTTCATCCAATTTCGGGCTGCCCTGTGTAGCCGGAATGCCCATTCAGTATGGGTATCCCTCCCTGTTTTCCTCAGTTCCCTGAATTTCTTTCTGTATGCCTCAGGGGTAACCGCATATCTAGCCAACAAAATGTCTTTTATCTTTCCATAATTATGAATATCATCAGGTACTGCTCGTGCTGCTTCTGATGCTCTGCCTGACAACTTGCTGCTCAGTACTGCAGCCCATTTGGTGGAGTCTAATCCCTCCAGTGCACATTGCCTTTCAAAGTCTTGCAGATAACTATCAATCTCATTTCATTGTCATTAAAGTTTTTAAATGCAGCATAATTTACCTTTTTCGGCATGTCATTTGTACTTCCCGGGGAGTGTAGCAAATCCCCCTGTAGTAGTCTGTCATCTCGCTCCTTCTGTGCTTGCCTGGCTTGTGCCATGACCTGCAGCATCGCCTCTGTTGCTGGATTAGGTCCCAATAAACTGAGCATCCATCTGATGTCCTTCTGCATCACCGTTTCTTCCTCAGGTTCCATTTCTGTAGTGCTGGTTCAGTCGCCCTGTAACAGCTCTGCAATTAACGTGGCTTTTGTTTTGTTGCTTGCTATTATGCCTCGAGCTTCCAGCAAATCCTTAAGCGTGGTTCTTTTAAGCTGTTGGTACTGCTGCGCCATTCATTCCTTTGCTTACTTTAAAACGTCGGTTCGGGATTCGAATCCCACCGCTTACCACCAGTTGGAAGGAAACCAAGTACATTTAAACCTTAATCAGTAGTTTCCTCCCGAACAGCCAGAGCCCAGTGAATATAGCCCTCCGTTCGGTAGTTATAGTAGACAAATTCCCAATTGTAAATCCAATAGTGTTCCTGGATAATTCCCACAGTAAAACACACAAACTCCCAAACAGCATACGTAGTCAGAATAAGGGTACAAAGATGAACTGAAGGTTTAATGACAGGCATGCTCTTTTTATGGAATTCAGCCCATGCAAGGGAGCCTCCCATATAATTAGCCATACATCCAATCCTAACAATATACATACTGTACATCTCCTCCCCTCAGATAACCATTAAACACAATTAAAACGTAACAGAAATTCCCCAAAGTTTGGATGTACCCCAAGGACTTGGGGTACAGGCATTTTGGTGTCTCCAGATAGCTATTGTCTGGGAAACCAACATATTAAAAACTCAGTCCATTCGGTTCAGCCGTTCGGGAGATATAGGACTTAGAAGTTTTGACCGACTGCACGGGCAAAGTAGCCGAAAACAGTTCCATGAATTCTGGCCCTGCAGTCGGTCTAGATAATTGTGCAAGAATGTACTGTTAATCACATTATCTCTCCGTACAGCAAAATATACAGTTTTACATTAAAAAAAACATAACTGATATAATATTCAGACGAATGCTACACTCTGCATATAAAATGCAACAGTTAACAAACTATTCACCCTAAGTGTCCAGAAGTAGCTAGGTTTGCCACAGACACATCAGATAATTAGCAT